TCTACTCTCTGTTGTTCTGTTTTCAGTGTTTCTTTTTCTGGACACAGCTCTGTTCACACGCTGTGTAGTATCGGCTTTTGGTATCAGGGCATTTTTACGAGTACGAGTATGAATACAGGAGCGCAGTATCCCTATTAGTCATTCATTCAAACGGCTGATTCATTCAAAAATGAGGCAAGTGACTACTGTCTTTATGAATGGGTTGCATGCGGATGAAGTGTGCCGTCAAGTGTGTTCGACTTGAAGAAGCAGCACACAGACCGATCGGACATCAAAGTACCTCGAGAGCGATTCGAAAGCATGCAGAGTCATCTGGGCTACGTTCAGCACCGACAAAAAAGTGCAAAAAGTTTTTTTAACGGAAACGGTGGTGCGTTGAACACCCTGTTCTGATGACGCAAGAGTTGCAACTATGGCAGCTGAGAAGGCCATTCTTTGTGTTCTTTTTGAAGAATTTTCGGAGCCTGATGAAATCGGTATAAATACGTGTTTAATACTGCAAAATACGCTCGATGTTACGGTCACTGCCCTTGCCGTCCAGAATCAAAGAGAACATCCTAATTCAAGTGAAGGGATTTGTGGAAACTGTGGTTCCTAATTATTGTGATCCAACATTTGCCTCGCATTTCAGGATGAAAAGACAAACATTTCAGGTGAAGGATAATCCACTTCTTACCTCCGAGACTGTGTTATGATCTATATATGACTACTAACTTTCTGGGCCTTGACCGTGGTAGTTCCCTTGCTGTCAGAAAGCTCTCGGATCTCATCAAAAATATCTTAATTTGTGTTCTGAAGATGACCGAAGGTCTTACTGGATTGGAACAACATGAGGGTGAGAAATTAATGATTTTTGGGTGAACTATCCCTTTAATGCTTTGTAGTGAGATCCTGAAACTGGATCCAGACAGATCAAGTATGCTGGTGGGGAAGCCCTTTGGATGAGTTTATGGGGTCATTAGGAGGACAGGCAACCATTTTCTCTTCTAACGTCAGATTATTCCACACCAATGTCAAGATAATCATGAAGTGCATAAACCAGAACTTATTTATTATTCTGTCATTTCCTCATAAAACTCCCAGGCTTCCTCATGAACCACCCACGTTAAATTAATAATGTAATTCATACTAGAAGATGAAACCCTTTTCAAGACATATTTTCTGAGACTTTTCATTTTTAGTTTCACTTTGATTTTCTCAACTTTTGGTTGCAGCAACAAATGGTCAAAATGTTTTTAGAATGATTGTGACAACATTATGGAAAAAAAAAAAAATCACATGATTGAGGATATAGGATATACCTGTACCATACTGGTTATCGGTCAATATTGGATATTTCATTGTGCACAATCATATTTTCAATCAATCAATCAATCATTCATTTATTTATGAAGTTAATTATAAAGTTAATCTTAAATAACACTAATCATTTGATAACACTTGGCAATCAAATGGCAATATGCAGGGATTCTAACAATTTTATGAAGGTAAATTTAAGACTTTAAGAGCTTTTTACAGCATCTTTTTTATGCTGTACATTATAATGTGGTGTTGCCTAAATGTACTTGTAGCAATTTATAACAATTTTCCTTTTTTTTCCCTTTTCTTTTCTTTTTTTTTTTTTTTTTACAGAATTTTTTTAACTTAACAGTTATCGGCCATACTATAAAAGCTATTATCAGTCCTCAAAATGAGTACTTCCATAGATACAATTTGGAAATATTTGAACTTGATGTGAACAAATGTTAAAAAAATAAATAAATGAATAAATCTGATGAGGGTAAAGTCCAAACAGAGCCTTCCGTGCGATTCCAAGATAACGTCCATGCTTCAGTGAGCACATTCATATCACAGGCCTGGAACTGGAGAGATGAGCATGTGTGGTTAAAGGCCTACACCGTATACGAGACTACACCAACCGTGATGGCTCCGCCAACTTCCTCAAAAATGATTACATAAGCAAGGCAATATTGCACCTAAACTTCCTGTCGAATTCAGACAAACAACAGTTTTTGAGTGGCTGCATATCTAGCTAGTCCCTGAATGATTACTGAATGTCAACAACACATAACACACATCGGTCCATCCTGTATCAGGCTTATTCAATATTAAACCAAATCTATTAATAAATATTCTGTAAAATGTTCGAACAGGACAGGAAGGGGTGTGAAATCGTGACCTCATTTCTTAGAGAGCACAATCATGACCTCTCTAGACCACTGTTTATCCCTGCAGCTGTGAGCGAGGACCACTTATAACCTCGGCAGGGAATAATCACAACCAATCGCCGTCTGGGACGGGACACACACACAGCTTGCACATGTTGGCGGGCAAAATACTCGTGGTTACCAAAAACACAAACCGCTTCGGCCTGACTTGTCTGTTGCTGCTATGCTTCTCTTGTTGCCCTGGTTACAAACAAACTGAAACAGTTGCTTGGTTAGTGTGTAGCCTGCAATTAATTGTGAAATGAAGGCAGAAAGACTGTGTTTGTGCTGCGGACAATCACAAAACTTCAAATCATGTAGAGTGCTTAGGGAGAAGTACGTTATTACTTTTCTTCATGATCAGATGAGAGATATCTAGGGACCAGAATATCAAAGAATTGATGGCGTGCTCTTTAACTTGGGCCGGTAAGTATCCAGCTAGCAATGCTAGTGGTTCAACGGATCACAAATCTCACGGTTCGGATCATATTACGGTTTTTGAGCCACGGATCGGATCGTTTTTCGGATCAGCAAGAAGAAGAAAAAAAAACAATGTAACTTTGCTTTCCATAAGTAGGATACCACAGTAAAAACTCTTAGCCTAAAAAGTTCAAACATTATTACAGAGACAAGTGAACAGCCAGTAAAAAATAAGAACAAATAGGCTACACAAATTACAAGCATAGATAAATACAACAGAACAAAGTTACAAATAAGTTCGGTAGTATTCAGATACAGAAATTTAATAATTAAGTGTGAAATAAAACTGCATAGTGTTCACTGTATAAATTAAAAAATAGATTAATCTTTGTCAAAAACGTGTTTTGTGGTTTGATGAGCATAATGACAGCAGCAGGTATTATTAGGCTGCTGCCCCTTTAAAACCTGATGCACGGATCCAATATAGCCTAATGATACACATCCGATTTCTTTCTCAGCTGTTCTCGTTCACTTAAGACACAACAGACTGCATTTGCCACAATGATTGTCGAGATCGGTATTTTGTCATAATTTTATGTGTATATGCGTCTGTTCAAAGGCAAGGAGTAAATGAGATCGGAAAGATGGTTCAGTTCGGTTTTCGCGAGCAGTCAAACGCGCCTCTCTGCGTGTGAGAGCTTCATGTTTGTGCGGCTGTGATAGAAAACAGCCCGCGAGTAACGAATCGAGTTCCATTTCACCTTTTCTTTCACTTGAATGGTTTAAAATCGCTTGCGTGTGTAAACACGTACAATTGATAAACTTTCATTCTATTATGGTTAAATTTTGCAATTAATCCGCGGATCACATGCGTGCCGAACAGTGGGGCTTGCTCCGTACGAATCACGGATCAACTACGATCCGTTTAACCACTAAGCAATGCCCTAGCAACTAGGGATGAGACAATATCAAATTTGCAATAATTACTTAAAGGGGTCATATGATGCGATTTCATTTTTTCCTTTCTCTTTAGAGTGTTACAAGCTCTTGGTGCATAAAGAAGATCTGTAAAGTTGCAAAGACTAAAGTCTCAAATCCAAAGAGATATTCTTTATAAAAGTTAAGAGTTAGCCACACCTACCTAAAACGAGCTTTTATCATGGTAAAGCATTAAGTGATAGAAACTTAATAGTAGTCCTCCTAATAACAAGTTTAAAGGGTTCACATGACGTTGCTAAAAAAGAACATTATTTTGTGTATTTGGTATAATGAAATGTATTAATGCGGTTTAAGGTTCAAAAAACATTATTTTCAACATACTGTACATTATTGTTACTCCTCTATGACCCGCCTTTCTGAAACGCGTCGATTTTTACAAAGCCCATCCTTCTGAAAAGCGAGGTGTGCTCTGATTGGCCAGCTCTCTAGTGCGTTGTGATTGGCCGAATTCCTCAAGCGTGTGACGGAAATGTTACGCCTCTTGCCATATTGTGATGATTCAAAAACATTAAAACCCATTATAAACGAAATCGCATCATATGACCCCTTTAATAACTTTGTATCATATAACAAAAAACACTGTAAACATACAAACAAAATAATTAGCTTGAGTAGGGC